AGTCCTCGAAGGTTGTCTGGTTTGAGCGTGGAAACACCACCGGCGCAAGCACCAACGAGAACTACGCCATCAACCCGTTTCGCTTACGCCTCACGTAAGTGCGAGAGGTCCCGGGTTCATTTCCCGGAACGGCCCCCAAATGTAACACACGGTGGCCGTCTACCGTGGCTACGTAGTCACCCCTATGGGCCAGTAGGCCCCTGTATGAGCTAGATCTACATAATTGAGTGTCTAAATCCCTTAACTCTCAGTTTTCCCATGGAAAATCCCTAAATTACGGAACTCCCGAAGGAAGGATCGTTCCAAGACACCTTCCTTCAGTGAATGTCTGTTCGTCCCCGCCGGGTGCGGGTTACACGCTGCCGTTCATCCCGGCACTGGGTGCGTCGGTCGGACCGCAGTCGAGGTCCGGCTCTTTCGGTCTAACTCTGCTCCCAAATGTACCGATTCTATTCTAATTCACATAACCTCTACCCTTAATGGAATACACCGAGCCAAACATGACCCAACTACGTCACTTACCTCCTAGACGCCAGCGCGCATAGCTGTGCGACGGGGTGCTGCTACTCAGTCCCAGCACCAAATCAACTGCTATACCTCTAATATGCTTCTACACCTGCTAATTTTAGCTAATTACATCTATAGCTAACTTAGGTAACCTCGGGTGTCTATAGGTCTGCTGCCCTCACTATCTAGCTTACACGCTGACTACCGCAACTGTGAACCATGTAGTGCCTGTGCACTACACCTCCCCCCTTGCCGAATTTTTCTCTGCTCCTGTGAACGAGAATACTCGACCTTAGCTCTGCGCGCGTTCGCGGTCAAACTATTCTACCCCATCCGTTGGACAACCGCTCTGTGTGCACTGTTTGCTACGGTTCCCGTTGTCCGGCCCTACTCGATTGATTTTTACTAAAGGACCGTCCTGTTGTCTACTTCCCCATGTGTACTAATTTTTAAACCTCTCTTACATCTATTTTGTAAGGGCTATCATCTATTCAACCTCTACATCTGCTGGATACCCGCATGCCCCGGCTGTCGCCGGCGCTTGGGGCTGGGCCGGCGAAATCTCCACTTCGCTGGCGGGTCCCCGTCTGCCGCATCTGCGGCTCTCCTCCCCTGCATGGTTCATCGACTATTGTAACTTGACATTATGTCTCCAAACTCGATCTTCGCACTTCTTCTCTGCTTGATTAGTAGTTAATCTGCGGTTTCTTCTGTGCTTGATCAGTAGTTAATTCACGTCCCGCTTCCAATATCGGGTGTGCCGACGCCGAAACCTCCATTTCGCGGGCGTGTCCCCGTCTACCGCATCTGGAGGTTTTCCTCCGCTGTACGGTTTATCGGCTCTTGTACTTGGCATTATGTCTCCAAACTCGATCTTCACATTTCTTGTTTGCTTGATCAGCCGTCAATCTGCGTCTTCTTCTGTGCTTGATCGGTAGTTAATTCACGTCCCGCTTCCAGTATCGGGTGTGCCGACACCCTCTCCCCCCCCTCGGGACAAGGAGTGCCTCGCCGTCCCCTTCATTCCGCTTCTTCGTTCCTTCTTGCTTCTCCTGCTGTCCTCGTTGCCCCCACTCCTGGAGGTCGACGTGTCTTCAGTCTCGCGCGAACATCCTTCCTCTGTTCTTACCCTGTAAGAGTTCCACTGCAAGGCGACTTTGCTTCTCTCCATGACTCAACCAAGACCGCGACTGCTGCGTCAACTGCTGTAATAGCTGCTGTACTTCCTGTTGCTGTTCCTTGTGGTTTGAAACGACTCTCGCGCCTTATCTCCGTCATAGTCTCCCTTATTGTCTCCTTTATTATCTGCTGGATTGTCTCCTTTGTTGTTTCCTTTATCGTCTCCTTCATTGTGCTTTAGGGTCTCGTTGGTTGTCTCCTTTATTGTCTCTTATCCTCTCCTTTATTTCGCCCTTTTCTGTCCCCTTTATTGTCTTCTTTATTGTCTCCTCTATTGTCTCCTTTATTGTTTCCTTTATTGTCTGCTTTATTGTCTGCTTTATTGTCTCCTTTGTTGTCTCCGTCTTTGTCTCCTTTATTGTTTCCGTTTTCATCTCCTTATTGTGCTTTATTGTCTCCTTTGTTGTCTCCTTTATTGTCTCCTTATTCTCTCCTTTATTGTCTCCTTTATTGTCTCTCTTTTCTTCCCGTTCTATATGTATTTATTAAGTATACTATTATTATTTATATCATAATAAATATATATGATCTTTGTTTAGACGATATTGAGCGCATCCTTTTCTGCTGTGTCTCCCTTTCTGGTTGTGTATCCCTTTCCTCGTTGTCTCCTTGCCTATTTGTCTCCCTTTCTTTGTCTGCCCACTTTTTTTTTGTTGTTTTTTTTTGTGTGTGTGTGCGGCTGTGGCAGACACCGGCCCCTTTCTGGCTGCTGCTGTTCTTGCTGTTCCTGCTCTTGCGGTCGCTGCTGTGTGCTTACTGACGCTCATGTTGTTGCTGCTTCCGTTGTTGCTTTTCTGCTGTTGTTGCTTCCGCTGTCGCCGTTGTTGCTGGTGCTGCTCGTGCTGTTGCTGCGCTCCTGCTGTGGCTGCTGTTTGCTTCTGCTACTCTTGCGGTTGCTGCGTCTGCTGTGGCTGCTGTTTGTTTACGGTTGCTCTTGTTGTTGTGGCTCTTGTCGTTGCTGCTGTTCGCTTACTGCTGTTCCTGCGTGTGCTGCTCTTGCTGTGGCTGTTGTTTGCTTACTGCTACTCTTGCGGTTGCTGCGTCATGCTGTGGCTGCTGTTTGTTTATGGTTGCTCTTGTTGTTGTGGCTCTTGTCGTTGATGCTGTTCGCCTCCTGCTGCTCCGGCGTGTGCTGCTCTTGCTGTGGCTGCTGTTTGTTTACTGCTGCTCTTGCGTTTGCTGCGTCTGCTGTGGCTGCTGTTTGTTTACGGCTGCTCTTGTGGTTGCGACTCGTGTCGTTGCTGCTGTTCGCTTACTGCTGCTCCTGCGTTCGCTGCTCTTGCTGTGGCATGCTGTTTGTTTACTGCTGCTCTTGCGGTTGCTGCGCCTGCTGTGGCTGCTGTTTGTTTACGGCTGCTCTTGTTGTTGCGGCTCGTGTCGTTGCTGCTGTTCGCTTGCTGCAGCTCCTGCTTCTGCTGCTCTTGCTGTGGCATGCTGTTTCTTTATTGCTGCTCCTGCATGTGCTGCGTCTGCTGTGGCTGCTGTTTGTTTACTGCTGCTCTTGCGGTAGCTGCGTCTGCTGTGGCTGCCGTTTGTTTACGGCTGCTCTTATTGTTGTGGCTTTGCGTTGCAGCTAGCTTCCCTGCTATGCCGTCTGTGCCTCCTCCATTTGCTTTCGCCGTTCCCCTGCTTCTTGGGCTCCGCCGGCGCCTTGTCCATTGCGTTCGCCGTTCCCTGCACATTGTGACTTGGTCTGCTGTGGGATGTAGTGCCGCCTCCCAGCTGTAGGGTAGCATCTTGGGCTTGTACAGCATATTCTGCCAACCCTTACACCAATACCAGCACGAGCACTGCCTCTTGCTGGTGAGACACCTCCACGCGCTGCCTCGCACGAACAAATGCCAATTTACTATCCACCCTGGCGAGCACAGCGAGCTGTCCAGGCTGTCCCCAACTTCAAACTCTCGCTTTTGTTTATTTTGTCAACGCCTTCCGGCGTCCCTAAGGTAGCTCTGTTTGTAAGGCTAAGCCTTGTTTCCCATCATATCAACCGTCATTTCCCCACTTATTACTTATGCTCTCGCTTCCTCTGCTTCCGCCACACGCTTGCCCTAGGTGTGCAGCGCCCAGATCCGCCGTGGAGCTGTAGAAACTTAGTAGCCCCCCCTGAGTTTGTTATCCCCGCCTTGTGGGCGTTGGTATCTACCCGAGTAGCCGTAGCTTGTGATGCAGGAAGGATTATCTGAACGTATTTAGTTATCTCAGGTAGTGCAGGCATGTTCGTAGAATTCCTCTTCCCTCACGGTCTCTCGCCTTAGCTGGTCATCTTCCGTTCTTGTATCTTCCACTGGCTGCTCCCCATCATTCCGATTCTTACTGTGTTTACGTCTGCGTCGCTTCCAGGCTCTAATTAAGGCAGGGCAACCCTGGAGATGATGTGCAGGTTCCCACGTGGCCCGTTCCTCTGGGGCGCCACGCCATTTGACCAGATAGGTGGCAGAAGACCCCGTACCTCTTTGGTCCAGTATGTAGTCCACGAGATATTGGTCCGTGGGGTTCCCAGCCTCGTCCTGCACTGGCGGCCACCCCACTGGCGCATCCTGTGGCATGTGTGTAGCCGGTCGAGGATGATGAGGAATCAGCTGTGAAACATGGAAGACATTATGTCCTGCGTAGCTCCCTGGAAGATCAATTCGGTAAGCTACCTCTCCTATCCTCTCGGTTACCTTAAATGGGCCTCGATAACGAGGCTCCAATTTGGCACACTCATTTAGCGCCGGTAAATGTCTGCTGCTAATCCACAGTCGGTCCCCAACCTTATACTCCATCGGACGTCTCCTAGAGTCAGCGTAATACTTCTGTCTCCACTTTGCTTGCAGGATGTGCGCCTGTGCTCTTTCGCAGAGGCGCTGAAAGAGTTTCGTCATGGGAGGAGAGAGTGTTGGGGGTAACGTGCCCACTATGTCCAGGTCAGCCGCTGTAAGGGGGTTCTCTCCTATCATGACTTCGAACGGAGAGAGCTCTGTGGACGAGTGGGGTGTGGTGTTATACGCTAGCTCTAATGCCGGTAACAGATGCTCCCACTCCTTTTCGTCCGTCTGTATGTACGTGCGCAGCATCTGCTCGAGGGTACGGTTCACACGCTCCGTCTGTCCGTCTGTCTGTGGGTGGTAGGGGGAGGACAATGCTCGTCTGATGTTGAAACGCGAGCACAGCGCCTCCCAGATCTCCGAGGTGAAGCGCGGGTCCCTGTCTGAGACTAGGGTCTCTGGGAACCCATGGTATCGAATGACTCGGTCCGCCAAAAGCGCTACCGTGTCTGCTGCTGAACTGGTCTTGCGCGTAGGTATGAAATGGGCCATCTTGCTCAGAGAATCCACCAGCACCAAGATGGCGTCGTGTCCTGCGTGTGTGTGTGGCAGGTCGGTGATAAAGTCCAGGCTCACGTGGCTCCAACGCCGTGACGGTATCAGGAGTTGCTGCAACAGGCCGGCGGGTTTCTGGGAAACACTCTTCGAAGCCCGACATTGTACACATGAATCCACATACGTATTCGTATATGTGCGCATCCCAGGCCAATAGTAATGTTTGCTGATTGCAAAGAAAGTCTTCTTTTGTCCCCTGTGCCCCGCTGTGACGTGATCATGAAATTGGTACAGTATATGCGTTAGGAACTCCGGTAATTGTGGGACACATATCAGCCAAATGCCATTCTGACATATGCGCAGGTATGGGTGCTGGAGACTAAACCCATAGCGGCGTTGGTGTATCTCGACATGGACAGTTTCTCCTGGGGTCTTGGCCGCGACCGTATAAGCTTCGCGGAAGACTGGACACTTAGAGTATGCCCCTGGCCAGTCGAGGGCGTGTGTAAGGGAATTCGGCTTGTGTGTTGCACTCGTCTGTTGCTGTGGCCGTTCGTGCTGCTGTTGTGTATCCAGGGTCACCTCCGGGGGTCTCTCGCTCTTCCGCCGTTGCCGCGTTCTCGCCCGAATGCCGGCTAGTTGTCGATAGTCGTTACGTCGTCTTCTGGTTTCAGGCTGTGGGGTTAATGGTACCTCCGCGGGTGCGAGGGAAACCAGTGAGCCTTGTGGGGTGTCAATACTGCTGGGAGCCCTTGTTGTAGGCCCTCCGGGTTTACGTGACAATGCATCCGCTACTTGATTTCGTGTGCCTGGCAGGTATAAGATCGTCAGTTCAGGGAACTCTGCGAGGAAATCTAGCCACCTGGCGGTTCGCCCCCTTAAAGGTTTGGATGCCCTAAGCTGTTGCAGGTGTGTTAATGCGTGATGTTCCGTGTAGGCCGTTACCTTTGCAGCCCGAAGTAGGTGAGACCACTTGTCCAAAGCGGTAACCAGTGCCAATAGTTCCTGATCATAGATTGAGTACTTCTGCTGCGCGGCGTTCATTGTTTGGCTCAGGAACCCGATTGGTTTTCCCTCCTGCTCCAGGACCGCACCCAACGCATGATAGGAAGAGCCGACATCGAAGGATCAAAAAGCAACGTCGCTATGAACGCTTGGCTGCCACAAGCCAGTTATCCCTGTGGTAACTTTTCTGACACCTCTAGCTGAAAGTTTCTCAGACCTAAAGGATCGATAGGCCATGCTTTCACAGTTTGTATTCGTACTGAAAATCAAAATCAAGCAAGCTTTTCCCCCTGCTATTTGAGTTGTTTCTGCTCTCTTGTTGTGACTCGCCGCTGCTGCATGTATCGCCTCTCTGCGACAGTAGTTGCCGGCGTTTTGTAAGTTATTTCCGAGGCTATTGCCTGTGCCACATTTTGCTGCTTCGGCTGCTGCATTTGTGGCATCAAAGACTAATGTTCTGGCATCGCATGGTTCTGGCTGGCAATATTGCAAGGTTCGTGTTTCTCCAGCCAGAGCAGTTCTCCCGCTCACGGTATTAATTCGCCGTCACTGGCTGCTTCTCCCGCCACCATTAAGGGCGTGTTTGCTAGTGCTTTAACCATAAGTACAAGGATGGTTCAGACGTGCGAGGTTTCTTCTTGACTGAAGTGTATACTTCCTCACAGATTATTTGAGGCAGCAGCAGACTTGCAACCTGAAGTAACTCATAGCTTTTAATAAGGGAACTCTTTCCGAAACGGAGACATGTTTAGCCTGTGCATCAAAGAGGTTTTTGCACTACGTGTTGAAATGTGAAATATCCGACGCTACTGCGGTTTATATTCACAGGCACCCTCATAACTAGAGTCGTGAACTCCCTATATGCGGAATGATAGTATATATACTAATTCAGGTTTTTAAATCAGCTGCAGAGTGTTTATCTTGCAACTGTAGGAGCTGTTAATTCGATTTGGAGACTACCCTTCTTGTAACCGGCCACTGTTGAACGGCTGCAACCTTGTCTGCGGCGGGTTTGATTCCTTCTGCGCTGACTGTGTACCCAAGGTAAGTGAGTTCTTTCTTTGCGAACTCACATTTGCTGAACTTAGGAAAGAAGTAATTCTTTTGCAGGATACTTAGAACTTGTTCCAATAGAGTGGCGTGGCTGGGTAAATCAGAGCTGTAGATAAGAATATCATCCAAATAGGCTATCACCCCTTGCCCCAAGAATGGTTGTAGATAATAGTTGATGTTTGCTTGGAATGTTGCAGGTGCGCCCTTCAGGGCGAAAGGCATCACCTTATACTCGAAAAGGCCGAGCACAGAACGGAACGCGGTCTTCCACCGGTCCTCCCGCGCCATGCGTATCTAATGATACCCCGACTCCAGATCTAAGGAGGAAAAATATTTGGCCCCTCCC